CGAGCCCCGCGCTGAGCCCGCCCTCCCGCAGGCGGAGACCATGCCCAAGCTGCAGGGCTTCGAGTTCTGGAGCCGCACGCTGGGGGGGGCCCGCCACGTGGTGGCCCCCATGGTGGACCAGAGCGAGCTGGCCTGGCGGCTGCTTAGCCGGCGCCACGGGGCGCAGCTCTGCTACACGCCCATGCTGCACGCCCAGGTCTTCGTGCGCGACGCCAACTACCGCCGCGAGAACCTGTACTGCGCCGTGTGCCCGGAGGACCGGCCGCTCATCGTGCAGGTGGGTGCGCGCCGCCCTGTGCAGCGCCACGTGCGGGGAGGCCAGGGGCTGGGCAGCCCCGCCTGAGCTGGCCGGACCCTGCCGCAGCCCCGCCCAGGCCCCATGGTGTGGGGACGGCTGGGCCCCTGGGCCAGGGCGCGGGTGGCTGCCGGTCGCCTGGGGCCAGCAGCCGCCGCAGCTCCCGGGCCTCGTGTCCTTCCAGTTCTGTGCCAACGACCCTGAGGTGTTCGTCCAGGCGGCTCTCCTGGCCCAGGACTACTGTGACGCCGTCGACCTGAACTTGGGCTGCCCGCAGATGATCGCCAAGAGAGGTGGGGTGCTGGGAGGCGCGCCTCCCTCCCTGGGCCCTGGGCGCCGCAGAGTCCCGGCGCCTCTGTCCTGGCTGCCTGCAGGCGAGGGAGGCTCAGAGGGCGCGTGTCCCCGCAGGTCACTACGGCGCCTTTCTGCAGGAGGAGTGGGGCCTGCTCCGGAGGATGAGTGAGTGGGGCGCGGGTCGGGAGGCGCCCGGGCCGTGCTGCCGCAGGCAGGCGGGTGTGTGCCGGGCCCCAAGCCTGGGGTGAGGGCCTGGTCTGCTCCCCCAGTTCTGCTGGCCCACGAGAAACTGTCCGTCCCTGTTACGTGCAAAATCCGTGTCTTCCCGGAGATCGACAAGACGGTGCGGTACGCACAGATGCTGGAGAAGGCGGGCTGCCAGGTGAGGCGGGCGCCCCCTTCCCGGAGCTCCCCACCCCGGCCTGAGCCCTGGGCGGACTGGAGCTTGGGTGGGGGCGCCTTGGCCTCTGCTCGGCCGGCCGGGGTAAAGCTGACCCCCCCCAGCTGCTGACTGTGCACGGCCGCACCAAGGAGCAGAAGGGGCCTCTGGCGGGCGCCGCGTCCTGGGAGCACATCAAGGCGGTGCGGTGAGTGCGGCTGCGGGCGGGCGCCTGT